CTTTTACCCGCCCACCCCATCCTATCTTTAGCCTCCCATCCTCCTGTATAATATTTCTGAATCTAATCTGAACACTAATATGTTTTCTATTCGTATGCTATACCCTGACTTATTTCATAACACAAATTCACTAAAACTCGTCTACTCACCACTCACACAGCCACATGCGCACATCGTCCCGTTGAAGCCCAATAATTGTACAAGAATTACATGCGTACTGTTTCCGAGAAGATAATCGACCTGCGCCAATCGTGTATTCTTGTCTTGAATTACGTTTTATCATGCATATGTTGTCTTGAGGAAGCATATTTGATGTAATGAGTCACTCCTGAAGTATGAGGACTGCACTACGTTTTCATTATCGCTTTGCCTCTAATTGGTGTTGGAGACATATGATAGACAATTTCAATGAAATGAGATACATTTACTATTAGTCAGACGTATACTGTATGCATTATTGCACTGCACACTTCTGAACTCTGCATTGTTGCATTTTTTTTCCAAGGAAGTTTGTCGTTCAAGACAAGTCCTTACGGACTGCAACACCTTTTGCTTCCTTGTAGTACTGCACAATGCTTATCTCTCGTAGATTTACATCTCCTGCTATCTGAGACAATTGCAACTCAAGCAAGTCCTTGCGTACTATTGTAATTGTCTCCCTAAGCATGCTCCTCTGTCTATCCTTAGACAGTGAATTATTGAAAAAATAAATAAAAATTGAAAATTCATGAAAATTTTTGGAATAACACTCATTGCCATCTGATATATTTTTATTATAAATTACGGCCTTTGCTATCACACAACCCCCCCCCCCCCCCCTGTTTGCACTCCTGTCTCTTGCCCTGTCTCTGCTCTCAGTGTACTTCTTTCAGAGAATGCCAGCACCATCCCGTCGAGGGCGACGGGTAATAGGGTATGCTGAGTGATCTGAGGAACAAGGATTACCTAGCCACGTCCCCCAGCGATAGGGACTCCCGACCCTGTTCTTGAATGCTTCCACAGTTGACCAGGAATGACGACGTTGACCACAACTCCCAATGGGGAGTCTCCCCATGCGCGCTCACGCTAGACACGCCCTTGGGCTCCCTTTGCCCACAACTGCACAGCACGAGACATAGCCATACCACGCTACCAGCCACTTCAGCCAATAAAGAAAGAAGCCAGAATTGTGTCTCAATACCCACCAAAGTCAGGGAAACAAAATCCTGACAATCTTTCTCTCTCTATCGCTCTCTCTCTCTCTCTCTATCGCTTTCTCTCTCTCTCTCTCTCACTCTTGCTCTCTAGCTTTAACACACACACAGGCATATGCATACTCACGGGGAGCTACATAGTGAGGTACAATCCATGACTCTCTCTCATCTACATACATATATTATATATAATATATATATAATATATATATATATATATATATAGATAGATAGATAGATAGATAGATAGATAGATAGATAGATATACATATGTATGTGTATGTGTGTGTGTGTGTGTGTATATGTATATATGTAAATGCATATATGTATGTGTGTGTGTTTTATGTATATATATATATATATATATATATATATATATATATATATATATACTATATATATATATATATATATATATATATATATATATATATATATATATATATATACGTATGTATGTATGCACAGACACACACTCTTGCTCGCTCTAACAAACGCACACAGACATATACATACCCTAAGAGACCTACATAATAGGATATAATGCATGACGCCATATGAAGTTCTGGTCTGTAACTTTGGAAATATAAGACAGTCCCCGGGTCTATCTACAGCTTCTGTTCCCCATCCTTAAAGCAATTATTAACCTCGGACGAAATCCAATTAAACTACTCTTCTGCTGACATGCTTTTTTGTTATGTGCTTAATTCAGCGCTTCTAGTAAAACTATTTACTATCACTACTGTTACTACTACTACTTATACTACTGTTATCTCTATTACTGCAATTTCTACTATTTATTCAACTACCTATTATCACTAATACTACAACTGCTACAGCTAGTGCAGCTGCTACTACCTCCTTTTATTACTACTACCATTACAGCTACTCTTGTTGATATTCTTGCTATCATTGTCCATTACTATTTAGTAACTGCACGAGATGTAAATGAAAGAATCATTACATACTGTAGCAGTAGTATGAACAAAGTTTGGCAATATTCAAGACAAGGCTGATTTAGCAAATGAAATATATTATTCGCGTGGCATATTGAAAGATATCTTAGGGGAAACTGGCAATATCCCCCTATCCACAATTTATCAGCCATGGCTCGCAAGAGTGACACAAGTGGGTATGGTTCTCGCGCCGGGAGGCCCTGCGGCGAGCATTTTGGTCGGTCTCTGGTGACAAACACCCGCCAAGAGCCATCGTTTTTTCCTCACGCTTTTCCGTCAGCCTCCTAAACGGCTGAGCGAAGCCTTTGTCCAGGGGAATCGCTCCACCAAAATGGTATCAGGAGCCACACTGGCTATTTGTCGCCTTGTATCACCTCTCCTTTACGGGCTTGGGAGCCGGCAGTCTGACGCTTACATCACAGCGCTCCGTCAAAAGGCTGCTTTAGAGAAAAGGTTCTTTTTCCTCGCCTGTGTTATTGAGTTAGAGTAGAAGGGAATGGGAAGAAAGTAAGTAAAGCAACAGAGGAGGAGAAACTAATATCAAAATATTCAGGGGAACGTGGAATATGGAGAGATAGAGATGAACAAATGGCCGAAAAAGAAAAGAGAACAGAAAGAGAAGAGAAAGCGATGGGCCAAAGATGGATTAGCAGTGAGTTAGAGGCAACTAGGCAAATATATAGGTAAATAGAGAGCAAGGCGGGCACGCAGAGCCAGCCAGAAAAGGCAGGAGGTGGCGCTGAGCGGGAGGAAGGGTCTTGAAAGGTCAAATTAACTCTGAGAGGTGTCGAGTGGAAAGACCTAATAAGGTCATCAGGTGACGCAGTGGAGGGCCGCCCTCTCGCCTTTACTCGGCTCTCTTTTTCTTCTTTTGTTGGCCTCGTTTGGTTTGGCTTTCTTGTTAATGCGTTTTTCATTATATTCTCTCTCTTTCTCTCTCTCCCTCTCTCTCTCGCTCGTTCGCTCGATCTCTCTAACAAACGCACACAGACATATGCATACCCTAAGAGACCTACATAATAGGATATAATGCATGACGCCATGATGTGAAGTCCTGGTCTGTAACTTTAGAAATATACGACAGTCCCCGGGTCTGTGTATAGCCTCTGTTCTCCATCCTTCATATAGCAATTACTAACCATCTACCTGACATTGTCTGATTAAATGCCAAATTTTCCTTTCGTCTGTCTATCTGTATGTTTCTTTGTCTGCATATACACACACACACGCATATATATTATAGTATATGTATATATATATATATATATATATATAATATAATATATCATATGTATATATCATATATATATATAATGTATATTATATATACATATATATTCATATATATATATAATATATATATATATATACTATATATATATATATACACACATAATATAATATATATATAATATAAATAGCATATAATATAGGTATATATATAATATATATACATACTATATATATACATATATATATATTAATATATATACGTGTGTGTGTGTGTGTGTGTGTGTGTGTGTGTGTGTGTGTGTGTGTGTGGTGTGTGTGGTGTGTGTGTGTGTGTGTGTGTATATAATATATATATATATATATATATAGTAATATATATATATATATATATATACATATATATATAGATACTGCATAATATACACATATATATATATACTATATATATATAGTATATATGTATATATATATTATATATATATATATATATACATATATAATATATACATATATATATATATATATATATATATATATAGTATATATTATATATTATATATATATATATATATTATAACACACACACACACACACACATCACATATATATATATATATATATATATATATATATATATATATTATATATATTATATTATATATATATCCGTGTGTGTGTGTGTATGTGTTATATATACATATATATATATATAATATATATATATATATATTATATATATATATATATAATATGTGTGTGTGTGTGTGTGTGTGTGTGTGTGTGTGTGTGTGTGTGTGTGTGTGTGTGTGTGTGTGTGTGTGTTATAATACATATATATATATATATATATATATATATATTATATATATATACTATATATATATATATATATACACACACATATATATATATATATATATATATAATATAGATATATAATATATATATATATATTATATGTATTATGTATACTATATATATATATTATATATATATATAGTTATATAATTATAAGTATTATAAAGTATAGACTGATTAAATATATCATATATATATATACATATATCATATTATATATATATAGATATATTGTAGTGTGTTATGTATACTTATACACCACCGTAACAACCACACACACACACACACACACACACACACACACACACACACACACACACACACCACACACATATATAATATATATATATATATATATATATAATAGTATATATATATATATATATATATAGTGTGTTTGTTGTATATATAGGCACCACACACACAGCACACACCACACACACACACACATTTATACTATATATAATAATATAGTATGATATTATACTATATATATATATATATATATATTATATAAAAGCAATATATAAAATGCCAAGATATATAAAATAATATGTATAAGTGTAGTATGTATTTGTATATATATATGATATATAAGATAATAAGAGTCAAGAGGGATATGGGTACTGAGAGAGCCGGAGAATATGCTGAAATCGGTCGCAATGAGGTCGCAAGGTGTAAATCGTATATAAGCTACACGGAAGAGATCCAGAGGACTGTCTGGACTATATGTGCGAGTGGAGAGGCTCGGAAAGTGGCA